AAGAAAAAATATTTTGAAAAAGTATTAAAAAAATATTAAACTTTTTTAAATTATAAAATAAAAAATATTGAAATTAGTGGGCTCCTCAATAAATTTAATAAAATTCAACAATGTAAAGATAGAATTTTTAATTTAAATACACAGAAAATCTTTCATTTTAAGTAAGCAATTAATTTATTAACCTCGAATGCCAATATTTTCATTTTTTTCTTTAAATTTACAATTTTGAAAATAATAATAAATATTTTCCGCAACATTTTTTATCTAACAAAAAACGCTCAATTTTATATCTTATTGTAATTGGTTGATATCCCGCCTTCATTCTTCAGTCATCTTCAAGACAACAATTATGAGCATTTTCCTGCCAACCTTTTGATATAATTTTCAGTTCAAATATAAAACTCACAAATAGTAAACGTTTTTACTGGTTTAAAAAAAGTATGAATTTTCAATGTTTAATTTAATAATTTAATTAAATTTACTAGTTATATCTGAAAATAATTTTTTACATATTTTATGTTTTCTGATTAAAAAAATTTCAAAATAATTAATTAAAAAACTTGAAATTATGTTTTCTGTTAATTTTGAGTTTTTTTCGATTATGGTGCTCTACAATCTTTAGCCATTGGGTAAAAAATAAATTAAAATGTATGTAAAATATTCACTCTTTTTGGCCTCGGACTAAAACAACAAACGGTTGTAGTGCCACATAAGAAGAAGAAGAAGAAATGTTCATAAGTAGGAAAATTTTAGCTGTATTCCACACTGGCGGTCACGCATAACTTACCAACACTATTTTTTTTTAACAAGTAGAATTTTGTGAATTAGTATAATATAGATAATATAAATTTTTAAAAAGTATGCGGTTATATGGCCCATTTAATTTTAGTTCAATATAGTGCGAGTTTGAAATGGTCCAACATTCTGGTTGATTTTTGCACTGTTTTTCGTTGCATATTTTCCTCCATATAAAAATCCTGCGTTATATGGAGAAAACTGCGCAATATCATGAGCAAAAAAAAGTAAAAAAAAACAAGGGCAACTTTGGGCGTACTCCAAATTCTCCTAGAAATTTTAATTAAAATGTTTGATTTTTTTTTTAATATTATACAAAGATTGAAACTTAGGTTTTTATAGTGTTTGTTATAAAATAAACTACATTAAAAAAAAAAAATAAAAACTTTATTAACTCACAAAATTCTACCTCATTGAAAAAAAATAGTGTTAGTAAGAATATCGGGCGATTTCAAACTTGCGCATTACTATACTTGAAACTTTGATTTATATAGTTTTTGTTATTTATTTATTTTTTTTTTATCACAAAATTCGACATCATTTAAAAAAACAGGGGTGGCAAGTTATGTGTGACCGCAAGTGTATTACAGCATACTTTGCGTTAAATAATTAAATTTTAGAGCACTTTACAATTTTTCATATGTATTTATTTCAAATTTTTTGGGCAGCTCTTTGTCCGCGCATGAAAGGCATAATTCAATGAAGAAAACTTCAAAAAGTCACTGGCTTGTCAAACTCGTCCTATGTATGTTTTGAATTAGGTTTGAAAGTTTTATTTATTCTTTAGTTTGTGCCAATTATTTATGGCAAGAAAACATTTTTTATTCTAATTAAAAAAGCAAGCTCAACATTTTTTAAATATTAAGCATTAAACATTTTAATTTCTTTCTCAAAAATTGATTTAACTTTTCAGTACTTATCGCCGGTTTCAATTTGTTTTTTAAATGAAAAAAGATTTTTCCTTCTGTCAAATTTCACATTAAACTCAAATAAAATAAAAATCATTTTTTATCTAAATTGCTTTCGTGAAACTAGCTATTAGTAAGTTAGCTTAATTCTTTTTTTAAATCAACATCACACGTTAAAAAGAAACTGTTGAAATTACAAATTTTAATTTTTACATTTTTTTCGTGTTTTTTCATTTGTTTAAATTACGAGTATTTTTTAAATTAAATAAACAAGAAAATATTTATTTGTCACTTTACTAAAAAATCTGAATCAAAAACAATATTGAAAAAAAAAAAAAATTGCATTTATTTGCGTATTTTCCATTTCTTAAATTGTTGGTGACATCAAAAAACCAAAAAAAAACATTATGAAATAAATTAAGTTTATTTTTAAAAATATCTTAATAACAAAACAAATAATTTTTTCTAACTTTTAATCGCTCATTAATACATACATAACTAAAAGAATTAGTGTTTACAATTCCATTCGTTCCCTTGTGATATATGTATACGGTTAACTGGAACCAAAGAGGGTTGGATATGTATCGCAGTATTTAGACTTGTAGTAGAACGCGGGCGAGGGTCATTTGCTTAGATAATGCAAATCTATTGCCTTATAATTTAATTAAAGAGAGCATATCGGCAACGTACAGTATTACATAACTATTTCCAATTAGCAACTAAATAATGTATTCGCTCCAGAAGTAATGCGTTATTTCCACTACACAATAAATAAAAAAAAATGTAAATAACAAAGTTGAACATTAAAAAAATCTTGTATCATACCGTTAACAAAAATAATTTGTTTAATTTTTTCCCATATGTCGTGTTTTATATGCCACACATTTCTTTTCATTTCAATACTTAGTGGAAACTCGGCATAAGCATTCACACATTCAACAACTGGCGGCTGATATGTTGGTTGTTACGTCATTTAGAAGAAACAAGTTTTTTTATGGAGATTAGAGTTTGAGAGAATTTTTCGCAGCATGCGAAATTATTACTTTTTTTATTATAATTTCTAGAAGAGTGGATTTTCTGTACATACATACTATGTACAGTGACGGGAAAATAAATAAATTTAATGTTTATTATTATTTTTTTTTTAAGAGAGTATAGGTCACTATCTAACAAAAACCATGTAAGTCCGGGTTTCAAACTTTGTTCAAATATTAGGAAAGTTCGATAAAGTTACATCAAAATTTCAAACCTTTTCATCGGAATTTTTAGAAAAAATTCTAGACATGCTGCTAGTAGCCCATTAAATTTTAGGGCAATAAAGTGTAAGTTTAATTTTTTGGCATTTTTTTCTGATGGTGTTACGTTTTTTCTACCACACAAAGTACGAGTATAAAGTATAAGGCGTTGAGCCTTTTTGTATGAAGAAAAATGCGCAACACCGCCTCCAAAAAAAAATTCTAAAAATCAGCGGTAGATCTTATTGCACTTTGTTGAGCTAGAATTTAATGAGCTACAAAACTGTATACCTAAAATTTGTTTTTAGCTCTGAATACATAATTTCAATTTTATTTTTTTGAACATTTATGCAATTTGTCGACTTTTTATAAATCTTGTACAAAGTTCGAAATTTCGACATACATGGTTTTTGTTAGATACAGAGCTATACTGTTAAAGAAAAAAAACAATGCGTGAGTACCAGACACTCATGAAATATGTCACGAAATGTTCTAGGCAAGCTTTGAAAAGGTGATGAAGTTATCTCTTATTAGTTCCAAAAATACTCTTACTAGTTCCAAAATGTTCTTGAAATAGTCGTGAACTCGTACCGAAATTTTCCTAAATGGTCTTTAACTTGTCCCGAAATGAATCCGAAATATTCCCGAAGTACTTAAACTAAATGATCTCAAATTGTCTAGAACTATCCACGAAATGGTTCTGAAATAGTCGGGAACGGTTCTGAAATAACTCCGAAATGGTCCTGAATCGGGCCCGAAAAGGTGGAAAAAGTCGTGAACTTGTACCGAAATAATCGCGACCAAGTCTTTAAACTGTCCCGAAACGGTCCCTTATTAGTCCCAAACTGATCCCGAACAAGTCTGGAACAGGTCTCGAAATTAATCCGAACTATTATCGAACTTGCACCGAAGTGCTCCTGAAAAAGTACTGAACAGTTCCCAAACCTGTTTTGAGAAAGTTCTAAACAGGTGGTGCTGAAAAATATCCGAAATGGTTTGGAAATAGTCCTGAACAGGTTCCGAAACCATACCGAAATGGTCGCAAAGATTTCGAAACGGTCCTGAAATGATCGCGGAATGATTCTAAGCTAGGCGTGAACTAGTCCCGAAATGATCCTGAAATAGCCCTAAGCTAGGATAGAAATGTTCATTTGTACACACAAAAAGCAGTTGCAATTCTTTCGCTGGGTTAACGAAAATTTTACTCATACCGAGAGCTGAAATGTTTACAGAAATAGAAAAATAGCCAAAATTTTCTTAGTTGTCGCGCCCATTTTTGTTTGCCCGTCACCATATGTTTATGCGAGAAAGAGGCGACAAAAGAAAGTTTTTTTTTTCAATATTCCAAATCATTGTTTTTTGGCAAACTTTTTTGAAGGATTTTATATTTAGTTCTTTTTTTTTTGTTAAATTTTCAGTTGTTCCAATTTAGATTTTTGTAGATAGTTTAATATTTTATTTTTTTGGCTTACGGTTAAAGCATTGTGTTGAGCTTGAAACTTTCAATAGTTTTGTGTTTAGAAATATGTTTATGTAAGTAACTAGTATGTAATATTGCGTTGATCCTCATGTTATACACATTGAATAAAAGCTCCCTTTTCGGGTTTTTAAGTAATATGCGCAGGCATGTTTTTTTTCATTGTTAAGTACGTATGTATGTAAGTGAGTATGCTTGTAGATAAGCAAATATGTATGTAGTAAGTTGGTTAGAATTAGGGTATTAGAATTTGCTATTTTTTTCTGTTTTTCTTCGTTATTAACCGACTTCACAAAAAGGAGAAGGTTAATAATTCGTCGGAATATTTTTTATTTATTTTTTTTATGTAACATTTTATGCATAACATTGGAACACTTTAACCGATTTCTTTAATTCTCACAGGTAGTCCCATATTAATTTGGTTTAAATCCGACCATTGGATTATGAAGAAAATAACGATAATCTTAAATTTTTATATAAGAATTGAAGTCGGCTTTGTTTTTTGCTTAAACATTACTTGTATTACAAATAACTAGTAGGCTGCCCTCAATGGCTGGTTTCACATTTCAAATACATACTTTCATATTTTTTTTACTAATTTGTCTTTAGCTAAATAGTATTTAAATTAGTTAGTCAATTAATTTAAATGCAATTTGGTTTTCAATTCATGGTTCTGCGATGTTCAACTCTTGCTCTTCGCCCTACGCCTTCTAATCCTCCTCCTCCTCCTCCTCCTCTGCGGCGAGTTTAGACAAATTTCTTGTTGCGCATACGTTTCATTTTATTTTTGCTTTAATTTTTATTTTTATGTTTTTAATTACTAGTTTTTCTATTTGTTGTTGTTTTTGCTTTTCTTTATACAAATACTACTATATCTATAAAAAGTTCTTTATGCCGCCAGCATCTTGTGGATTTCGTATGTTTGTTGTGTCCTTAATCGTATCCTTGCTGGTTATTGGTGGACCTTTTGATTCGAATGTGGGTTTGCCCATCGCCAATGCTGGATTCAAGTCTAACATGGTGCGCGGACTCATCGCCACAATGCTGGCGCCAATAGGACCTGTTGTAGTGTTTTTTAGTTAGAGAGTGAGCGAGAGAGAGTGAGAGGGAGAGAAAAATAGAAAAATATCAGAGAAAAAGAAATGTTAATTACTTTGTTTTCAATTTTTTTTTGCTTGCTAATAAAAGTCATAATAATTTTTGTTGAAGTAAAAGTAACCGGTGGTGCATTGATGCAAGAAAACTCTAACTAAACAGCTGCAAATTTGTAGAGGCAAAGCGGGGCCGATAGAAAATTTCACTAATCACTAATGGAGGTCACATTATACCACTAGTTATACCGAAATAGTTCGTTCTACTACTTTACTCGCTAATGTGTTGGGGCTAAACTACTGTGTTAAGTGTGAAAGCAGGCAATCCTTTTTTTATTTTTGTATATAAGTATGTGTATAATTTAAATATTTACAGTATAAATTAGTATATAAAAAGCAAGCCAAAACATGCATAAATTACAGTACCTACAAATAATGGATGCTAAAGAAATATTTTATTTTAAGTGGACCTTTTTTCAGTGAAAATTGCGGCAAAATATTTTTTTATTCGTCTATTTAGTTTAGTAGACGTTTGCAAGAGGCACCAGTAAAATTCTACACGGCTGGGTCGAAGCGTTGCGGTAGCTTGGGTGGAGGAGTATTTCTCATCTTAAATATAAGCTTCAAGGTCACTCTAGCATGTAAACATCCGCTCTGATAGCCATCAATAAGGTTCTGCCGGACCTCTATTACGGTTGCGTCTGATTATTTGCTAGTCAGTATTATACGGGTACCAGGCTAAAATGATGTTGTAGATTGTTTGGCTAGAAAAGGCACACTAGATTCGACGTCACCAATAAAAGAGAGAGTGGGATACCTTTCGGAACTTGCGCGCTGCTCTTTTACAAATGAGTGGACCGCAGGCGTTGAAGACAATTTCTAAGGCACACAGAGTCATTTCTGGTGGATCTGGTGGTGACAGGAGACAGTTCAATTGGTATTCACGCGGCGATGGTAAATATCGCACCAGATTCTCACTGTCGCAGCTGTTGCATCCGCAAGGCATTAGAGCAGAGATTAAATGGCCAATAAAGAGGCAATCTCACTATACAACAACAGTTGCGTAGTATGTAGGTGTCTACACCGCGGAACTAGTTAGTGAATCGGTCCAATTGTAGGGCAGATATTTTTTAACAGATCCGGGGCAAAAGTATTCAAAATGGTAGCAAATATAAAGTTCCACTGGCCACATAGCGATAGGATTTTCGCATAAAAGAAACTGCTACAACTTTATACTAAAATACAGTAACATAAAGTGTATGTGCATAAAACGCCTGGGTAAGATATTGTACCGCAATAATTAGTACTATCGAAATATAACAGTAGTACTACTAATATCGTAATATCGTAAGATTTGAAATCGGTGCGACTCACGGAACCTATTTTGGAGGTTTCCTAACAAAAAGGCAACTTGGTAGATATATTTGACGTAAATATTGTGTTTTTGGCAGTTTCCATTTGGAATCGGATTTTTTATTCTTTTTGAATTTAAATTTTTTAAATTACTTTTAATATTTACATTTTATTGTTTTAAAAAGAAAAATATAAATATTATTTTTGTATTTAATTTAGTTTTTAGAAACTTATTTTATTTATATTATTTTTTTTTTGTTTTCTTAATTTAATTTTTAAATTTTATAGCTCTAAGAAGAAAACATTTTTAATTTCATTTAATTTTTAAAACCAATTTTTTACTTCTTTTAATTCATTTTTTTCCTTTTCTCATTTTTAGTTTTTATTTCAAAAAGAAAAAAATTTTTCTTTTTTATCCGACTTAAAAAAGGAAAATATTATAAATATTTTTTTTTTTTTATGTATGTTACCGCATAACTTTTGACCACGTTAACCGATTCATTTTTTTTAACGAAAATTGGTACCTCAGAGGTGGTCACATATGTACTAATTTGGTTTAGATGCGATCAACGGAGTATGAAGAAATTAACGATAGTCTTAAATTTTCATATTAAATTTGAGGCCGGTTTTGTTTTTTTTTTTAATTACTTCTTGTTACTTATTGCCTTATAACAATTATATTCAAAAATTTGATGGAGCCTGAGGCCGTTATTAATGAAAATGTTTGTGGAGAAACAACAATAATTTAAGGAATAAGGAAAGAAAAAGATGTTGTTTTAATATCATTTAAGTTTTAGTAGTTTGAATAAATGTTTTCTTGTTTTTAATTTTACTTTTTTATTTTTAATTACATTTCTTCAAATTTTTATATTTTATTGTTTGAAAAAGATAAATTTATATATTTTTAGTTTCATTTAACTTTCAGAAACTTGTTTTATTTTTTTATTCTTTTCCTCTTTTAACTTAAATTTCTATTAAGTTTTACATTTTACTTTTTTAACTTTATTTGATCTTTTAAAACTTATTTCATTTTTCTTATTATTTCTTTTTTTTATTTGCTTATTATATTTTATTGTTTTAACAAGAAAATTTGTTGTCTTAACACTTTTCTGATCATTAATAATTGACTGCGATCGCATCTGCACCAGAGTGTAGACCTATGAGACTATTTTTTACTTTTTTTGAGGCGATCAAATATGAAATATTATTCATTTTCTTTAATTTATGAAAAGGAATTCAAGTTTTGCTTTATTTTCGTAAAAAAGGTTCACTCAATTAAAATAATAAAATTTGAAAAATACATATGTACCTACATATATTTATCAACTTAAGCTAATGATCATTCTGATAAGTAAAGCATGCAAAATAATTCTTAACTGACAATGAGAAACAAGTCCATAGCATTTCAAAGCGATTTTAAGCTTATTTACAGCGGTCATTCATGATTCCTTCTATCAATGGAAAACTTAATGTCTAGTTACTTGTATACAATTTACTAAAGAGAAGGAATCATACAAAGGGTGATTAAATAAAGGGGGGTTTTGAAGTGGAATGGGAGATTTTCGCTCCTACACTATACAATGTTTCTATGGGGTTTCTAAGGGGCGGTGCTAATTGGGGAGACAGCTAAAAATGTCTGTTAAAAATACTG